ATGTGGCTTACAGGCTTGTGTTGCCACCTAGTTTAGCAGCTGTTCATCCGGTATTCCATGTGTCCATGCTTCGAAAGTATCACGGCGATCCGTCCCACGTGTTAGATTTCAGCTCTATCCAGTTGGACAAAGATTTGACTTACGAGGAGGAGCCGGTGGCAATTCTAGCCCGGCAAGTTCGCCAGTTGAGATCTAAGAGTTACCCTTTAGTTCGAGTGCAGTGGAGAGGTCAACCTATTGAGGCAGCTACTTGGGAGTCTGAGTCCGATATGCGGAGTAGATATCCCCACATTTTTACCAGCCTAGGTACTTTTCTATGTTCGTTCGAGGATGAACGGTTATTTTAGAGGTGGAGAATGTGATGACCCAAAAGGTCATCTTATGTTTTAGAACTCGAATCTGCGCTCTTAAGCCTTAAAAATTTCATTTTTACCCTCTTTGATTTGCGTGCACAGTCCGAACAGGTTTTCGGAAAGCTTTTATGTTAGAAAACTAAAGAAAATAAGGATTTTTGCTTTAAAGTTGATTTTAGTTGACTTCGATCAACATTTTTGGTAAACGGGCCCAGATCTGTGCTTTGATGGTCCCGGTATGCCCGTATCGAATTATGGGACCTAAGCGTATGTCTAGAATCGAATTTGGAGGTCCCTAGCTTGAGTTATGAATTTTTGATGAAAATTAAAAGTTTGAAAATTATTTATTTTTAAGAATTGATTGATATTTGGCATTGTTAGTATTGGGTCTGTATTTTGGTTTCGGAGCTCGGTACAGGTTCATTATGATATTTAAGATATGTCTGTGAAATTTGGTGAGAAACGGAGTTGATTTGACGTGATTCGGACGTCCAGTTGAGAAGATAGAAATTTTAAAGTGTTCTTGAGAATTTTATTTGATTTGATGCTAAATTCGTAGTTCTAGGTATTATTTTAGCGATTTGATCGTGTGAGCAAATCCGTATGATATTTTTAGACTTGCGTGTATGTTTGGTTTGGAGCCCCGAGGGCTCGGGTGCCATTCGGGCGATGCGCGAGTTGAGTTCAAACCTCAACAAGGCTGCTGGTGCACCAAATCTGGTGTGCCCGCACCTGCGAGCCTTTGGTCGCAGGTGCGACCCAGGCTTAGACTTTATTTTTCCGCAGATGCAGACTTTTCTCCACAGAAGCGGGACCGCAGAAGCGGAACCCTGTCCGCAAGTGCGGCCCCAGTTGGCCCAGTCCTTTTTCGTAGAAGCGCACATCTTGTCCGCACATGCGGATGCGCAGGTGCGACCAAAGCACCGCAGGTGCAAAGGTCGCTGGGCAGTGAGATCATTTAATTCTGACTCCAGCCATTTTTCTTCTCGTTTTCAAAAGGATAAGAGGCCTAGGACGATTTTTCAAAGATATTTTCTTCCCCAAATCATAGGTAAGTGTTCCCTAACTCGTTTCTTTCAATCTTTTACTTCATTTTACTAGAATTCAACCAAAAATCTAGAGTCTTCATGGTAGAATTAGGGGTTAGGGTAGAAACTAGAGATTTTGGGAATTTGGGGATTTAGACCTCGACTTGAAGTCGGATTCCAAAACTAATTATATATTCGGGCTCGGGGGTGAATGGGTAAAAGGATTTTGGTATGAATCTCTGGTTTTGACCAAGCGGGCCCGGGGTCGATCTTTTTCGGCTTTTTGGAGGAAAATTTGGGAAATTTAATTTATGAAATATAATTGATTCCTTTAGCAATATTTGATATTATTGAGTCAGTTTTGAATAGATACGAGTGGTATAGAGGCGAATTCCAAAGAAAAAGCGGTGATTGAGAATTAAGTGGCCTTCGGAGCGAGGTAAGTGTCGTGTCTAACTTTGGGTTGAGGGAATAGATATTATGTGTTCATTTGCTACGTGATTAGTTGTTAAATGTGATGTTTAGGTGAGGTGACGAGCATCTATGCGTCGTTGTCGAGTCATAGCATGCGAGTAAAATTCTATTCTTATCTATTTTGTAGCCTTAAATCCTACTATCCATGCTTAGCGGGTTATTTGAAATGTTGGGTGACTCATATTTGGCAACTTTCGAATATTGATTCGAGGTTGAGATTACATTGTGCTATTGATTATGGGGAAAATACTGGTTCTTTGTGATACTCTTATCTATTCGTTGTTATTGATTCTGTGATTTGTGAGGAGGAGTGTAAAACACGAAGTGTGATGCCGTGCATGCATTATTTATATTGTGAGGAAGAGTGTAAAGCACGGAGGGTGATGCCGTGTATATTATGAGAGGTTTAAAAGCACGAAGGGTGATGTCGTGCCGTTCTATTTATTTATTTGGGTGAGGTTGAGAGTAAAAGCACGAAGGGTGATGCCGTGTCGTTCTATTTATTTATTTGGTGAGATTGAGAGTAAAAGCACGAAGGGTGATGCCGTGCAGTTTTCCTTTGCTGTTTTAATTGCTCAATTCGTTTACGGATTTTCTGTTTAATTTTGTCTTTTCATTATTCTCACTCTTTATGTTGTATTCCCCCACTGCATGTTTGCTTCCCATTATTTCTGCGTTATTGCTTTACTTATTGTTGTTGCCACTAGCATGATTATACTGTTCAGGTTATATGTGGGAGTCTTGTCCTAGCCTCGTCACTAATTCGCTGAGGTTAGGCTCAACACTTACCAGTACATGGGGTCGGTTGTACCGATGCTGCACTCTACACTTTTTGTGCAAATTTTGATACCGGCTCGGGTTGATCGAGATTTGCTACTTGTCTGCTATCCGGAGACTCAAGGTAAATCTATCGGCGTTCACATACCTTGAAGTCCTCGTCGATCTTTTATGTCCTACTGTTTTCTTTCATTCAAACAGTTGTATTTCTTTCAAACTATTACTTGTAGTAAATTCTAGAATGCCTGTGAATTGTTACTCCAGATCCGGGTGGTAGTATTTAATACAGTTTTTATGATATTCCACATTTATTATATTTCATCTTAGTTAATTATTATTATTTACTGAATGGAAATAAGGAATTGGTTTAACGATTTTCTAACGTTGGCTTGCCTAGCAAGTGAAATGTTAGGCGCCGTCACGATCCCGTCGGTGAAAAATTTCGGGTCGTGACATAACTACATAAATTGTGGTATACATCTTCCATTGATATTTTCATCGCTATATATTATGGTCTACATCTTCTAGCGATACTATTATAAATTTTCTTTGGGAACTATAGATTGTGGTCTACATCTTAAGCGATACTATTATACACTTTCTTTGGAACTATAGAGTGTAGTCTACATTTTTTGATACTACCATTTAGGAACTATTCATCGTGGTTTACATCTTATGGTTACTACTATAAAAAATTCAAGCAAAAAAAGATGTAAGTTTAAATGACAACGATTTAATTTAACTATTATACACGGTGACAAATATAAAAGCAAAGTTAACGTATAGCTAGGTCACAAAATTTAACTAAAAGACAAATTCTAACACTACAAAATTAATATTTAAAAAGTATTTTTTTCTAAATAAGCAAACCCAATAAAAGAGTGGACTCCTACCTCTTGAAAATTGGCAGGTGAATTAATGAGGATAGATAAGGAGAAATATTGGTAGTGAGGCCTACCGGCCGTGATGCATTCTCTGGAAACAATTCGTTGTGACATTGTGATGAAATAGGCATAGGGATAAATTGGTCAACACAATCAAAAGTTTATACGGTAGCTACAGTAAAGTGTTTTATGAGCCAATAGAATTGCTCCATTTTTACACAATTACAAAATCACCCTACCGGGCCAGATAACAAAAGGAGGGATACAACTGGCATTTCAGTTAAACATGATTGGTTTTGTCGTCAATTAAAGCTCAAGGCCAACTTTTAAAGATAAAGTTCAAGCAAGCAATGTGCAAATATTTGCTGAAATGACCAAAAAGCCGTTAGAATAAACTTAATCACTTTAAGCAAACATGTTGACCCTAAGCTCCTCAACTGTGGCTTATAAATAAGTAGAATATATCTTGAAATAATTTCTTTTGCCCACTAATCAAACATAAAAAATAAATAAAAAATCACTTATTCCAGAAAAATATTTTCAGTAGAAAAGATCTTCCTCCATTCCAAACATATTTGAAAGTATCAATCCGCAGGATGACTTTTCCCAAACGCAGCTGAGCAAAAGCCCCCACAGAAAGCATTTCGCTTTCAGCCTTACAAAATCCAATTTCTTTTTAGAAAGAATCAAACAACGTTCTTCTCAACGGTAACCCAAAGTAACAGTGGGCCCACTTCACGTCTATTTTGCATACATCCACTCTTCAATTTTCAATTCAAATCTAATATAAATATAAACAGCCATTACCCATTCATAGACGCCACGTTATCATTACATTATTTGAATTCCATTCCAACCAAATAGTATTGAACTACACCAGTACTACAGCGCTACTCCGTTCATGTCATCTCATTTTATTCGATAATATTTGACGAAATACACAAATTGTAAGACGATAATTTTTGTTTTTATTTAGGATGATTAATGAATTATTCTGAAAGAAAGCATCACAATATCAATCATATTTTAATCTAGATAAAAATTTTAAAACTCAAATTTACTTCAATTGAATTTAACTTTTTGTCTGAATTAACATGCATATTCTTGTAATAAGCGTATATTCAGAGATATCACTTTGTATCCACTTGTGTCTAAGTTTATAGTTAGAAATTTAAAAAAATTAAAAAATCATACCAAACTTTAAAGAGTCAAATGAAGATTAGAACAAACAATAGTACTAATAAGAAATAGTCAAACAAATTTGACATCAAAGTGAAATCACATAAACTGAGTTGCAATTAAAATAAAAACCTTCTTTCTTTTTCAAAATTTTCGAACCCCACTTTTTAAAAAAATTTATACAGCACAGCTTTACCTAAGCTGTCTACACTCTTTCGTCTTCCTTTCTTTTTCCCTCTCCGCGTTTCACATAGACACGCACGCGACTAAACATATCTACGTATATAAAATTCACTTTTCAGACATTTATTTATGTGTAATATCTGTACATAAAATGTCTTTGTATCCGAAAGCACATTCAAAGAACATGGCACCCACCACATTTCTCTCTCTCTTTCTCCTCATCTCCGTCGCCGTTCAAGTCGCCGGACAAACAACTCCCGTCGCCGAAGCTCCGGCTCCCGCATCCGACGACTGCAACGGCATATTACTACAGTACGTGTTCACTTCCGGATCCAAAATCAAACCCACTTTAAAATCCAACCCTAAAAATCAACCCTATAAGTTTCAGTCCATTTTAAGCATAATAAACAACGGGCTTGACGAACTAAAGTTATGGAGAGTCTTTGTTGGGTTTCAATACGATGAGCTTTTGGTCTCTGCTTCTAATGTTGTTCTTGCTGATGGGTCTTCTTTTCCTGCTAAAGTTGGTAATGGTACTGTCTTTGCTGGGTTTCCGAATGCGGATCTTAAGACTGCTGTTGAAACTGCTGGAGATGCTACGCAAACGAGTGTGCAGGTTCAGATTAAGGGTACCCAGTTTGGAGTTGGGTCTCCTAATGTCCCTATGCCGTCGAATATTTCTTTGGTCAATGATGGGTTTATTTGCCTTAAACCCTCTATGCAAGGTATGGAATCAATTTAAATTCATTTGTGCACCTCTTAATATAAATAACATTTTTGCTTTATTAATTGCAGAGACATGGTTTGAATTATTTGATTGATTTGTGACTAGACAAGTTTTATGAAACTTTATTTTGTCTGCTTTAGTTATGAAAGTTAGGTCAATGTTTGGATTTTAATGGATTAGTTGTTTGTGCTATTTGCAAAGTGGAATTGCTTTAGTTTTGATCTGCATTCTGCGGTGAGGGTCATTGTTGCTTTAAATGGTGCTGGAGAATAATTTGACATTCAAATTGGTTCACTGATGATTGCTTACTGTATTAGCTAAAAATCAATAGGTGATCTACCCTCATTAAAAGTTTCTTTTTTTTTTGCACAAATTGTGGGTCCTTTACTATTCTTCCTTCAAATTAGATTTATTCGAGAGTGATAAAGACGGTTACATAGACGTATAATTTTCTGGAGAATTTGGTTCATTGCTATGTCAGCTTGGATGGAGCATTATGTCTGAATTGTGATAATTCTTAAGAAGTACTTGTATAGTTTATACAAATTATCAGTATTTTGATGTTGGCTGTCTTACCTAGAATTCCTAATGGATCTTTTGCAAAATTTCTTCAATAATTTCATGGATGTTTGATTTGTCAATAATTTTTGGTATTCCAAGCTTCTCCTGGATTCTAGACCCTTCGGGGTTGCCCAGTTGGTTTGGAGGGCAGTCATCCATACGGATACCTGGGATCGAATCCCCCTCAATGCCTTCTGGGTTGAGCCCGTCGCACATGGCTTATCTAGTGCGGTTTACCTCCCCTGTGTGGTTTGCAGGCTACTACACAGGGGGAGGTTTACGGGAGGTTTACCCAGTGCGCACCAAGTGTAGCGGCTTCGGGTTTCCCTCTTAACAAAAAAAAAGCTTCTCCTGGATTCTTTACAACAAAACCTTTGGTGGTTTATAACTTTACTTCATGTAGTATTTGGAAAATCTACCTCTGCCTGAGTAATTTCTTCTTCGTTTTCTTTTTAAGTATACTTGTAGCTTATCTGAATTGTCTATGCTTAATTGTTCAGGAAAGAGTGTTATGCAAGTATGCTGCAATAAAGACCCAAAATTCAAGACAAATCTGACATTGGATGAGGAATTCAGTCCACGACAAGATGGGGACCTTACAATTATGTATGATATCCTAAGAACATATGATTCAAATTACTGGGCACAGGTTAAGATTGCAAACCATAACACCCTCGGCCGCCTTGATAACTGGAAACTAAGTTGGGACTGGATGAAGGATGAGTTTATCTGGGAAATGAAGGGTGCTTACCCCTCTGTTGTTGATACTTCTGAGTGCGTTTTCGGGCCACAGGGAAAATTTTATCAGAGTCTTGACTTCTCCAATGGATTGAACTGTGAGAGAAGGCCAACAATAATCGATCTGCCTCTGGAAAAGACCAATGACACAAAGTTGGGGATGATACCTTTCTGTTGCCGAAATGGGACGATCTTGCCACCTGCCATGGACCCAAGCAAGTCTGCTTCAGCATTCCAGATAAACGTCTTTAAAATGCCTCCGGATCTCAATCGCTCCTCGTTCACTCCTCCTCAGAATTGGAAGATTGAAGGCAGACTGAATCCAGATTATAAATGTGGACCTCCAGTCCGTGTAAGCCCCAGCCAGTTTCCTGATCCGAGTGGATTGCTACCCGATACAGCAGCATTTGCAAGCTGGCAAGTTGTATGCAACATCACTCAACCAAAAGGAGCAAGCCCTAGATGCTGTGTATCTTTCTCTGCTTTCTACAATGAATCTATCATTCCTTGTCCAACATGCTCCTGTGGTTGCCCTTCGAATACCGCTCGTACATGTAGTACAAAAGCTCCTGCTCTTCTCCTACCATCTCAGGCTCTTCTGGTCCCATTTGAGAATAGAACCAAGATGTCCCTTGCCTGGGCTGATATTAATCATCTTCCAGTTTCGAACCCATTGCCATGCGGAGATAACTGCGGTGTCAGCATCAACTGGCATTTATTCACAGACTATAGGGGTGGATGGTCTGCCAGGATCACCCTCTTTAACTGGGATGATACTTCTTTTGCTGATTGGTTCACCGCGGTGCAATTGGATAAAGCAGCCCTTGGTTTTGATGCGGTGTATTCCTTCAATGGAACTATATTAGACGGCGTTAACAATACCTTGTTCATGCAAGGCCTGGAGGGCTTGAACTATCTAGTAGCAGAAACAGATGGAGCTAATCCAGAGAAAGATCCCCGAGTACCTGGGAAACAACAATCAGTGATCTCATTCACAAAGAAGAATATCCCTGGAATCAACATTCCTGGCGGTGATGGATTCCCAACAAAGATATTCTTTAATGGAGAAGAGTGCTCATTGCCAAAGATACTCCCAACAAGCAGCTCATCTAGGAGGATATCTTCGTTTGCTGTCACTACATCCATACTAGCACTTGTGGTTTTTATGTTGATGCGACAATAGCAGTGAAATGCGACATTTTCTCTTTATTCCATACCTGCCAATTGATTCATTCTTTAGATGATGCAATGCTGCTGGTGAAACAGTCTTTTAATCAGTTTATCAGATTATGTCAATGTGTTCTCGGCAAGTTTTGATTTACTTATTCTGGAATTCTTTTTCCAGACAACATATACGTTAGTACCTGTATCTAGTGGGCAAGAATGAATACCTCAGTATGATTAGTACTTGTAATTAATTTTCAGTCTTTATTGTTTTTTGTGATTAGCAAATTTGTATCAGTTTACTTCTTAACGTGGTAACATGTCAATGAAGCTGAGCAAAAATTCTCTTACAAGGGGTGTCTTTTTCGTCATTTCACTCTATTTTAGCTTTGCATCTACATCTTTTGTTTTGAATCGATTAAGAAGTATTTCGGGAGTAAATTGTTTTCTTAAACAATTGAAATAAAAGACAGCCTGCATAAAAGCGCAGAGATCAAGATTAGCAGTTTCACAAAGAGCTATATAAACAGCCACTTCTTTTACAAATGATATCCAAAAGAATTCTTCTGCAACACGTTGAAACATGACTTTATTTGCCAGAATATTCCAATAAAATTTCTTTGGAATATTTAGACAGTTTCACTTGGTTCAATTGTTAAAAATTTGATACATAGGGACGGTCACTTGTCAAGGCATAGGTTTTTTGCTCTTTATCCCTAATTTGTGGTTCAGCTTATGTAGTAAACCCTTTATTCAGTGTGACTGAAAATAACAATGAAAAGAATAAAGCTGTTCTTGATTGTGAAAAAGATTGGCGTGTTCCACCAACCAGCATTTCGAACTCGTAGCCCATACATAGCTTTGCTATAAAGCCCTGGGGCGAATAAAATTTTAAGTATACATGATTTTGTTTCGTTATATAAATGTAAAAGTCAAGCAGAAAAAAGATCATATTTGTACATAACCTACACAGAAATAGCTAGGTAATACATAGAAAATGCATCTCCAAGTGTGAGCTGCACACCTAAAAGTAGAACATGAAATGGAGCAAAACAATGACCAGGTAAATGAATCCAGACTTGTCTTAATAATCAATTCAAATGAAATCTGTACATTAAAAGATCAATCCTAAAAGTGAAAGGGAAGAAAACTTGCATTATTGAAGTTAGAACTTAACCTTCCTGTTCACGAATATCCCTGCACCTAGCGCTTGCACCCCACGATTAGAACTCCTTGACAAAATACTCCAAAGAAATGTGATTCTCCTAAAATCACCTACCAATACCAGCCAAAACTTTGCATGTATGCCTTTGCATACCATGCAGTAGTATCATACACATTTACCCTTCTATGATCTATCTGATATTCATACTTGCCATATGACAGCTAAGTTCTTTCCAATAAGAACCAGCAACCTTGAGACCTTACAACTGAATAGAAAACTGAGACTCCTTCATTTTGGTTCATAGGGAAATTTTCAGCTGTAACGGCAACTATGTACACTAGTTACTTCGTATAATATGTTCAGTGCCATCAACTATGCTTTGTTCACATCTTACACAGGAAGATTGTCCAATGTGTATCCATCGAAGCCAAATTCAGTTTCAACTGGTCCAACATTTCCTTGCTGTTGCAAATAAAAGTTATCCAAATTAGCAACAAGAGTTAAGTCATGAACTACAAAATTTGATCAAGAAGCTATCTTCTTTAAGGATAACAAATTAGGACTAACCTGTTTTAAGAAGGCACTCATGAGGTCCTCCTGTCCAAATTGCTCGTGGTAAATGGTACTGTGATAGTCTGTGTCGGAAAATCTTTCAACTTTAACAGCAAGCATATTTCCACCAAGAGAGTTAAGTTGTGGTCCACCCATAGGATTAACATGTCCACTTTCATCCGCATTGGAGTACATTGGTTTACCAGTAGGAGCATTTCTGTTTTGTCCACTGTTGTGTGTTGAAGAGATCCCTTGCTGAAATAACAATTGTGATGAGACACCCTGACTTCCTTGTATACTTGGATGATGAGAGGCATCAAAGGTTGGCCCAACATTCTGTAAACCCCAGTTCTGTGATTTTTGCTGATGGAGTTCAGTGAACATATCATAATTAGAAGGGAATCCTCTAGATCCTTTGATGTCGGAGTTCATCTCTTCCTGAAGCATCCCTCTATTGGTCAAAGTGGACATGCCTGAATTATTACTCCCAAGAGAAAAGTTGTAGCTCTGCAACTCCTTGCTTTGATTTAGCGAGAAGTCGACCATTGAAGATGCTTGGGAGACTGGATTGTACACGCTCCCTCGTGCATTGTCAACAATACCACTCTGTGCTGGGACCGTACCAGGTATCCCCTCTGGCGACAAACGCTGCTGCATGGATAATGGAAGCCTCGAAACTTGATGGCCATTATTCTCTCCATTTAGCATTTGAGCCCTAGGTTGTGATTGGGATATTCTCATAAGCAAAGAATTATTATGTTGTGCCATGGAGTTCACTTGCGTATTTATACCCACGAAGGACTGGGAAGGGTGGTTTAAATTAGCAAGCTGCTTTGGCTCCATGGTGGTTGGGATCCCGTGCAGCAAGTCAATTTGCTTATTGCTATTATTTAGTTGTTGTTGCCCTTCTGGAAATCTCAACTTGGAATTTTCGAAGCTAAAAAGGTTTCTTTGATCTACTAGGGGCATAGATATGGCAGATTTTGTAGCAGATCTACCTAGGGCCGCTGCTTGGAGGGTAGCAAGACTTTGTGCAGGGATTTGACCAGCGGCAGCAATAGCTTGAAGATCAAGCCCGTTGAGGGGAGATATTGTGCCAAAGGTTGCGTCAGGGCGTCCCATGAAAGAGTTGTTCAAACTACTCTGGTGCTGTGATGCACCACTCAACCTTCTGAGATACAACCGATATTTCTGCAGAAAATGATTGCCACCATTGAGTGCTCTGCTAAAGAAATTAGGCAAACATTCTCTACCACAAAATGCAAAACAACTACCAAGACAAAGACTTTGGGCAATTAAATTTCTGGGCATGACACTGTAAAAGGGTTAAAAGTAAAAGTCTAAAATTACCTGAAGGTGGCTAGCAACATTTTCTCTGGTTAGTCCAGGAACATTCATCAGTTCCAGAATTTTCTTCGGGACAGCCTCTGCATTCATATCCAATATCGAAACATTTAGCACGAATAGACAACAAAAATGTCCATAAGTATTGATTTTGAGTTCACATAAAACAAATTGTACAGTAAAAGACAGCACAACAAAATTATACAATTTCATATAACCAGATTATACGGTGAAAGAAACTATGACAAATTTAGGACAGTCAAGAATTTTTTGGTTATTTTTCTTTCTCAGTCATTTTTCATTTCTTCCAATTTCATTCTTTTTCCTTTTCTTTTCCAACACTTCTAATCCTTTTTTTTTCATTATATCCAGATTTTATTTCATTGTTTCCTTTTTCTTTCTTTTAGCATATCATACCTATGACTGATGCTCCATTGTGATTAACTCTATTATATTTTAACTACTTCAATTGCAATAGCCCCTCAAAACAAAGGTATAAAATTAACACTTAATTTGATATGACAGAGTAAGTGACATCTGAACAAACCAAAGTTCCTGGCTAAAACCCTAAATCTCATATAGCTCATGCTATACTATGTACTACTTAAGCTATCAGGGGTGGATGCAGCTTAGAGTTGCCGGGTTCATCTGAACCCAATACTTTTGATGCGGAGCACAAATTTATGCGTAAAAATCCACTAAAATTGCAAAATAAAAAATAAAAAATTGTAGATATGAACCCATATCTTTTAAAATATTATGGGCTCAATGCTAAGAAGTAAGAACCTTGTTGAGCCCATCGAATTTGAATCCTAGATCCCCCTCTGGCTATCAAGTACGCGTTTTTAACAAACCATTGCCCAACACACAATCACCCAATAATCTAGTGTTTTTGAAGCTAGTGAAATGGATAAGACAATATTCAAGTATAGAGAAAGAAGCTACAGATCCACTTCGCTGGAACGACGTCTCTAAATTGAATACATCCCCGTCATTGTCCACCCAAGACTAGGAGGGAAGAAGGCACGAGACAGCAAAAGAGAAAACATTTGGTTATGCTAATTATAATTATTTGACAAGAACTCCTTCTGCCAGTTGTAAGGTTACATCTCTCTAATCAGATTTCTAATATTCTTTACAAGTGAAAAAAACCTCATACTGGAAAAGCACTTAAGGGAGAACCCACCCATATACAACAAGTGGAAAATATGTTAACAGATTACAAGACAAGTAAATACAGAAAAAACGAGGTAGAGAAAGTGCATGCAAAAGAAAGCTAACATCCAGAAAACACAGAGCAACAAGGGAATAATATGTTAACAATATAAAAGGTTAAACTTATAGCAAACAGAAGAGAAAATGGTCCATACTGTCAATTCCAAGTTGATGCACGGCTTGCACAAATTGTTGATGAAGCTCCACTGACCAAACAACACGTGGCTTCTTTAATGTGGATGTATCGTCCCTTTCTTCAGCTTCTTCTTCCTCTTCCTTTCTTTTCTTCGAGTTTCTCCAGTTTCCTTCATTAGCTGAAGATGAGAGATGAGTAATCAACATCTTCTGGCGGTTTCTGCTGCCGATCTCCTTCTTCCACACTACCTGATTGATCGTAATTGTTGTCCTTCCACTCATGCTTCTTTTTACGAACAACATGCTGCCAAATATTCTTCAGTGCCTCAATCCGCACCGGTTTGATCAGATAATCATACGCACCATGAGTAACTCCTTTCATAACCACATCCTTACTATCATCCGCAGACATCACTAGAGTCATAATCCACCCAATTAGTACGAAATCAATAGCTTTTAAACCCAAAAGACATCACAGTTTTTAACTAAATGAAACAGGAAACTCACTTATAACAGGCAGGTCCATCTCCAGACCAATGTGCTCAAGAAGTTTGAAACCATCCATGTCTGGCATGTGGACATCACTTATAACAATGTCAAACCCATTCTTGTTTTCCCGGAGCAACGATAATGCAACCTCAGCCCTATTACACTTGGTGACTGGAACATACAATAAGCTAAAATTAATTGCAAGAGCAACAAAAAGGAAAATAACTCACTAACCTACATATTTGGTTTGCTTTTTCTTTGAAAATTAGGAGCAATAGTAAAATTATCTTTATAGGTCACGAGTTAAAGCCATAAAATCATTGCATTAGAGTAGGCTGTCTACGTTACACCCCTTGGGACTGCCCTTTTTTTACTTTGAAAATTACCCTAGAAACCAATTAAGTGAAGTTTAAATCTTACATCCAAAGAAGAGATCTAAAACCACCTCTT